AAACTTACAAAATGTCAAATTCCTCGGCTGTTAAATCAAACTCAAGAGATATTTCGGAACCTATCAATTCCCATCCCTCTTTTTCACCCACAATAAGTACCACGTCTGTAGAAACATTATTTACTATTTTTGTTTTATCAATATAAGATGCAGTCCTATTCTGACTGTAAACTTCGGCTTCCCATTTTCCAAACATTTGTTGATTATGATTCTGTTGTATTAATAGCTTTCTTGTTTGTGTCACATCTGATCCTTTATCTGCTGCTGTACAATTTGGACACGGACCTTTATCTATCTTCCAACCATTCAAGAAAAATAGTTTTACCTAGTTATGAATAAATGAAATAATCATATTAAAAGAAATTTTGGGATGCCAATGACTACCCCTTTAACCAGGTGTTCGATTGTTCTCGGTTACTGGGGTATATTTTCTGTTATATCAAAGTAATATTCTTATCAAAAACTTATCAGAAAAAAACTAAACATTCATACGGTAATTATAACCTGTTGTCATTTAAACATGTGAAACATTCGCATGTGACTGTGTATACTGTAATTTACGACCACTTCTTCCAATTATTTAGACACACAGATGATATCACCTATTGTGATCCTAAAGTTTTGGGTGGATTCGATGATTCATTTTAGTAAATATGGTTTTAACATGGTCAATAATTGAAATATTATTTTAAATTTATTTTGTTAATAGGCAGCAGCAAACGTAATCGGACATGCATAGAAATGCTGCTACGAGAATCAAAAGTGAGGATCCATACAAATACAAAATAGGAGTAGAGCAAACTTGGACCTCTAAAATATCGCATGTGGGATCAGGGGTCATGGAGGAGTAAGCATCCCTTGCCCCCACCGCCGTTTGCTCTTTGTAATGATCGGGAAATAACGGGAAAAAATCTGTCGTCCATTCAGTGTATAAATAATGGACTTAAATTAGTATGAAAAACCTCAGTCAGCATTTGACTCAATTTTAAATTGCATTTGCTAACAAGGTCATGGTATCGACCATAAAACTTACGAAATGATGACTTTAAGGTATGCCACTCGTCAGCTTTCTAGAAATGTCATGCACAACATTTTACTTCAAAATTATTTATTCTAATTCAATTGAAATAACATATTTAAATTCAAAAATGTAAATTGTTCAACGTTCAGTAAAAAAACTGCTCAAAAATCCGCAAAGAAGCAAGTATTACAGGGGACTTTTTCTTGTGGTGGAAGGATATTTAATAGAAATTCTGCAATTCTTCCCATCATATAAATCTAATATCTTGGAACTTTAGCCTCACCTAATTTTTCTCGGAGAACATTTTCCGTTATAATATGCTAGGAATATTAAATATATAAAGGTTGCATTTTACATTTTTAGAACAATTTTCCTTCAACAAACTTTGCCGAGGAAAGAAGATTTGCTAAAGAAGTCAAGATAAAATTCTTTTTTTTTTGCTTGAAAAACTTATGTTTTGGCCAGTATTTCAAAATTAATATCACTGACCTTTTTTCTTTGTTTAATTATTTTAGAATAATCGATCCTACTGACTGATCAGCACTTAAGTCGTAAAAAGTTTGATATTAGAAAATATTGCAATGCCTATACACACATTTTTAATATCCAAATATGTTACTTTTCAGTGGAAAAGGGTCCCACAAGAAATTTAGCGCATTAATTTTGAAGATTTGTTCAATGATAAATATTATTCAAACTATTTTATGCGAAATAAGATTATATTTATTGATATGATTACTCTAATAAAATATGATAAAGATTATAGTAATTGACCAAAGAGTTTAAAATGGAGTGCAACAAGGTCAACTTAATTGTACCGTACCTCAGTAAAATGCACACTGATCCGCTGTTTTTCCTGCCATTTTTAGTCAGTAATGAGTACTTATCTAAAAAATACTTCTAAAAAATCCTTGATCTTGTAAACTTCACGAGTGAAATACCAAAAAAAAAAGACAGCTGAAATTCTCGTTTCACCTACTTTATCAATGTCAATAATTTACCTCGTTTTAGAAATTGTTCATACGTAGAGCATGCTCTCGGGTATCGAATTAATTGAGTTATGCATGTGTTGAAGGTATGCTGCTGCATTATTAGAAGTTATGCATAGAAAATTTACACTTCCTGGTGTTCATAAATTCATGGGTCTCTTAAAATTTCGAAAACAATAAAATCCATACCCCCACTAAAATAAGTGATTTCACAGTGTTAGAGTTTTGAATATTGAACGAATAAAATCAATGAACATTTAGTTTCCAGGAGTTAGAATACTGTTATCAAAAGTATTAACTAAAGATTTTTTGTCAAGTAGGGTTCAGTGCTCTTCAAATTGAGTCATTTATTTAGTTTCTTCATTGTCAAATCAGGTTTTACCTTGAATATTTTTATCCAAATGACTTATTGAAAACAGTCTTTTATCTTGAATAGTCATATCAAAAGATCTGACAACAAAAATAGTTTCAATCACCTCGGAATAATAAATTATTAGACTTTTCCGTAGAAAAAAAGCTATCTAAGTTAATTTTTTGCAAGCGATAAATCAAGTCCCTGATAAAATCATTTGAAAGTAATGATATTTATTCGAATTTCAGAATTTAAAAAGAAAGAATAAAAGTATCTTACATATTTATAAAATGAAATACTTGTAAAAAAAAAGGGGGTCTGTGATGTTCAATTTAATATAATTAAATTTTAAATTTGCTTGTATTTTAGTCTCTGATTGGTTAATATCCAAAAAGGAACACAAACTATTTCTGGATTGGGGAATCTCCCCTGACTACCATTTGAATCATCTGTATCCATGTAATCCTCTTATTTCCAGGCCTCGGGATTTATGGAAAATTCAAGATTTACTTTTAACGTCAAACGGTAACTCGATCTTACATCATATAAACAAACAATAAGGCTTCTAGGTATATCCTGACCTTGCTTCCCAAGGGATCTTTAACGAGATATGTTCCTGGGCTTTTGAGCAGATTTTTATCTATAACTCTTTAGTGTATAAATTATATAAAAGTATGCATAATGTTTCAGTTCTTATAATAAATTTTGATTCTGCAATGCTAATTAAACTATACTCAGTTAAAACCCCATAATTAAAATTTTGAACTATACTTTGTGGCTGAAGGTTTTATAGAAGAAAATTATCAATTTTTCCCATTCGAAATATTAACTATGATTTACTTTATATCCTCTTTTACAAGCAGCCTTCACACGAAACGTGATGACTTTAACTTTTCTATCGTCAAATTCCCTTATGCAGCAATATACCTTCGTCACCTGTATATGGGGTGTATATATCTCATTTGATTCGATACGCAAGAGCTTGCTCTACGTATGAACAATTTCTAAAATGAGGTAAATTATTTGCAAACAAGTTGATGAAACAAAAATATCAACAGTCTTTTTTAAAGTCATCATTTCGTAAATTCTATGGTCGATTTAATAACCTTATCAGCAAATACAATTTATCATTGAGACAAATGTGGACTAACGTTTTTCATACTCATTGTTGGTCCATTTTTTATAAACTGAATTGACGACGGGTTTTTCAGTTATTTCCCGATCATGACAAGTAGCATACGGCGGATGTGACCGGTTAGCAGGTGATGCTCACTCCTCCATGGCACCTGAACCCACCTCTGTTGTTTCGGAGGTCCATGTTTGCTCTGGTCCTATTTTGTATTGTTTTATGGACCTTGATATTGAATACGTTTCATTATCTCCATATCCTTCATTAAGTTATTTTTTATGTGAAATGTTTCGTGCTGTTTCCTAGTGATATACTAGATAAACTGTAATGAATTTTATCTTTATTTTGGACAAATATAACAAATGAAATACATTGTTTAAGTCATGTGGACAAATATCCCATTTTAGGATAAAAATTAACACTATTTTATTTCTATGATTATATCAAAATTAATATCACAGAGGTCCACTTCTAATTTTTTTCCTGAATTAAAAAGAAATACCCGGTAATTTAAACCACTCTATTAAAACTTTAAAAAATGTCATTACTTTCAAATACTATTATTGTTTGTCCATTTCTTAATGCCCAAAAAGTAACATGTTGACATTTTTTAGTGCAAAAAGGTCACAACATTAATCATGCGAAGGAATTTAAAACTTTTTTGTTGTCACAAATTCCAAAGTGAGTATTCAAGATGATACAGGACAGTGGTAGTTCCCATTTTTTTATTTGGGTAAAAAAAATATTTATGTTTTAGACATACATAAAATTACAGTGCAAAACGGTCAAATTAAATGCCACCGTGCGCCGATCGAAGTGAATTGACACCCTTTTTAGGCGGAAGCCGCCTATTACTTTTGCATGCTTTGTTGATCTTTCGACCTCTCAAGATGTTTGCCCCGCTTCATGGTACTCCAAACGGATGTATCTTAAACTAAGGGCATACAACCCGCTTAATCATATTCGACCCCTTCCCAATCTTCATCGTTATTATCATATCAAAAAGCGTGTGTTATGGCGAATTTATCATAACAATTCATTTTGATTTATGTAAAAAAGTCCAATAAAAATAATAGCCTAATAATAGAACGAATAGTTACTTTGTTACTGCTGATACGTTTCACGTTTGAGAGAAGAACGAACGACAACTCTGTATGTCTAAAACATAAACAAATCGGGTTCAACATTTGACTAGCACGGGGTCCTGAAGCGATCTTTAGAAATACTACGAGGGACAAAATATTTCGAGTAGGTAGTTATGTTTAAGAATTAATGACAGATACATAGCTACTGAGAAACTAATCTTTTCAATAATCTTGTATAAATAAAATAGAAGAAAAGAGATATGTAACTCCTTTTATCAATTGTGTACTACATTCGCGTAATAATCTAACATATAGACGATTCAACGTGAAATTATTGTCAACAAACCCACGTGGAGCACAAATGATTTACAATGATTGACTGGAAGTGACAGGCCTTCTCTTCAAAATAAACAAGGTAACTCACGCTGTGTGATTAGCCTATCTTTTATTGTCACCCTTATCTTTAATTGTTTTAACCTGAAAATGTCGTCTCCCTATGCAGGCATGCTTTAGACATGTTAGATATCGTAATATGATAGCTGTTATGGTCGGGTCTTATCGAACGAACTGGTACTCTAATTACCATGATTACATGCCTGGGAGAAATTATTTGAGGAATTATCATGCCGAGTTTGTGTATACATTTATATATCCTTTCTCATTTAATGTTAATACATGTATGTTGAAGGATGGACCAAAACTGTAAAATCTGGACAGAATTTAAATTAAAACGCAAGCATAAGAACTACATTGTGTTTTGTATAGATGTGTCCCTGCTGCGGAGGCAGCTAACAGAAAGGGGATATAATTAAGATTGCATTGTGGATTTGCCCTGTGCCACCTCTAAATGGCAGAAGAAAACTCAACTCAGCACAACCAGAAACACTTTTCTGAAGGTGAGTACATCAATTTATTATATTTCTAGATAAGTGGAAAAAAATTTCATAACTTATGATACATATTTTTTTATAGCATAACAAATCTTCTTGTTATGATGGCAAAACTGAACCGAATATTATTTTTGAAAGTATATTTTGACTTTTCTAATTTTTTTGACTTATTTTCTTTTCATCTTTTTTAAATACATGCAAATACATGATTACTTATAATAGTAGGCTTTTGAAAGAGAAAACAAATACAAAAAAATATTAGAGAAGTCAAATCGGTCAATATTTATCATGTTTAATAATCGCTTACTCGATATCTGACTTTTTCATTACATGTACAGATAATTATGAATTCCATTGGAGATAATTTTTGGTACTAAAATTAGTTATCAAATAAAACACAAATGCACAATACACCCAAAATTACAAAAGGTTGTTTTAATTGGATCTATTTGAAAAACTGCTGTGTACACATGTAGGTTATATAACTAGCGAAAGAGAGGAGACAGATGTTGTTGGTCAGGATCGCTATTCATATTATTTCATTTGTTGGTTGTTTCCAGTATATTTACACTAAACTTACTACACAAGTTCACTTTCCGCAGTTTTGAATCTTTTGTTATATCTATATACCCACTTCACTCTTGAAGTGGGTATAGTGGCATTAATTTCTTTGCATGTTAGATTTCACTGAATGAATGAATGTAGATCAAGGCGGTGTTTTACAGCTAGGTGTAGATGAAGACATGCTAATTACCATTTGCATGTTTTAGTTATAATTGATAAGTTTCTGATAAAAATGTGTACCTTGAAAAAAGAAATAATATACATCCGAGTAAACGAGTAACTTTTTTTAGTATTCGATACTTGGACCTTGGATCGAGTACCCGGTAAAGTTGACTTCCCTAGAAAATATATTAAAATAACCGGTATATCATAAAAGGTTATTTGAAGTCCTTGATTTCATTTATTGAAAGTCAGATACATAATGTGAAATAATTTTTGTTAAATAAACATTGTGAGATATTCTTAATTTTTTTCAATTATACACTTTGTAGAAAATTCTGCCAAGAGACAGTTGTGAAGGGAATCGTGTAGATAATCTCCAGAAAAGAAATCACCACTGATATTGGGATGTATGTAAAATATTTTAATACAATCATCAAAGACAAATTTACCACAGGAATAAAAATAAAACTGTCTGGCATTCAAGGGCCTGCCATGGTAGAAGCTCTCCTGAAAAAATATTCCATTTATTGAGAACATCATGACACAGGGCTCACCTGTCACCAGCATTAAAGACTTTTGTGATTTGTTCTACCTGGGCCATACATGTATTGAATGAAAACAATTCATATAACCACAAGCACATTGTAAATCTATGTAAGGTCTTCTGTGTATGTTGTATTCCTTATATACTAAGTAATTTGCTGTTTTATAACAAGACTTTGTTTCATTGGTACTAAAACTTAATACATATACACATACAAAACGCAAAAGCAGTTGTGATATTTATTGTTTTTTATTACTCATTAGTTCTCATTTTTGTGTGAAATCTTATAATTTTCCATTTCTTGTTCCCCAAAACCATATCTTACAAATTTCATGTATTGCAACTTGCATTTCAATTTTGTCTTGTTATACTTTACAAAAACAAGAGATACTGTGAGCAATGAACTGACTAAATGATACCCCCGCCTCCCATATGATTATAATGGAAAAGTCCATGTTTTGCTGTGGCCGGGAAACCCAAAATATATGTCGGATCAAAAAGTAAAAGAGGAGGTGCACAATGGCAATATGTAATAAAGATTCTGTGAAGGTTTCATTAAATTTCACTCAGTGGTATAAGAGGAATTGCGGATAAGATATGAGTACCCCAAAGCGTAACAGATGGACGAACGGACAGCTAGACGTACGTACGGACAGACATACCGATTACAGTATACCCTCCCACTTTTCAAGCGGGGGTATAATAAATGTTTAAATGTTCATATTGCTATTGACGTGACTTTTTCTCATGTATCCGTATCAAAACCGAGACATATTGTTTATTCTTGTTCCTTGGTTTCAATACTACAATCCATCAAAATATTTATCACCTCCCCCCCCCCCTTTAAAAAAGATTATGCTTCAAATATGTGTCATTAAAGTTTTGCACATGAGAACTTGCAAACATGCTTCCGCTTATCAGTACTCTCAGTACTTTGATTTAGTTTTGATTTCTTATTGAGCCATGTGTATAGATTACAAACAAATACATGATAAAAAATGTTCAAAACCTTTGATGATAACAGGATCGAACCATCTTAAGCAAATTCAAAAAGGTTGTAATGATTTTTTTTTTTAATAAAATTAAGCATTCTCATATACACTCTCTTGCCTTCAAATGCCCAGAAGACCCAATGGTTGTAGAGTAACTCATGCATCCTCCATAGATACCGGCAACATTCTGAACTCCAAAACATAGTAGAAGGACCACTATGAACATCTCCATTTCACTACAATCAGACATGATATTTATAGTTATCATGTTCCACCATTTGTTTATCTTATATTTCGAGCAAATTTATCATGAACAAAAAATCTTTGTTGTTTATATAATAACAAAAGCACTGTAGTCAGGACGAATCTTCGTTTTATTCTACTGCTGGTATTTACACTGATTCAAATAAATATAGTCCTGTGAATATGAAAGTTTGTTTGGAATTAAAAAATACATTCATTGAATTAGCTTAAATCAATTGACCTGTGATTTATTTACGCAAGAAATGTATAGTTTCTATTTAACTGAAATCAAATTTATTTGTCTGAATTTTCCAAAAAAAAAAAAAATAAAAAAAAAAAATAAATGAATGAATAAATTTTATATCAAAAGTCAAAAAGAAAACGTATAATATTGCATTTGAAAATGAAATGGTATATATTTGGAAATAACTGATTTTTGTGGGGGCAAAGTTTCATTGTTTTTTTAGGTATACAGAGACCCATGAGTTCATGATCACCACAAAATTTAACATTTAACATACAAAACTATACTAAACAATTCTTCATCCATGATATCAAATTCCCACGTACCAATACCTTTTTTCTTAAAGCACGAAAATTTGACCCCACAATATATATGATTTTACAGTAGATGTTTCTCTTGACAGATATCAGAGTGTAAAGAAAACAAATATGTTTCAGGAAAATTTAAATGCTTTTGTCCTTGGCATAAATTTTCATCTCAGAGAATATGACTTTTGTAGGTTAAATACTTTAAAATCTATTGAAACGATCCAATTTTTTTTCTCAGCTGAGATCTTTCAGTAGAAAGTTCAAAATTTTTCATCATTATAAAAATGTCACGAAAAACATGAGACTTACCCAAAGAACAATTATGGAAAATGACATTATCGTGCAGGTTATATCTGTTATAAAGTTTGTTTACAAGATCGATGCGATCTTCCTTGCGTACTCTTGATACCTAATAATTCTATTTAAACCATGTTAAAGGACGAGATTGGTATCTCGTTCAGTCGATTCATCATTTATCATTTTACCTGATATATAGACTAAACCCTGACAACAAATTACCAGATCAAAGTCTTATGTATTCGCAGTAAATGACATTAAAGATGTATCTTGGTCATGGGCAACATGGTTTATGTCGACCTAACTATCTGATAATTCAAATTAATGACAAGAAATTGGTCCATTTATTATGCAACCGCATTTCATACTTCAGAATTCCATAATATAAATTTTAATAAACTAAATCACTGCGGATACTAGTAGCTTAACCGATAGTTCCTATTGTGAGAAAAAAGAATTCAAACGTATATAACAACTATAAGGAATGTAATCTTTTCATCATTATATATATTGGCTCAAACGGACGCTATGTATAGTTCGTGGATATATATACATAGTAATAAATAGTGTTCACTCATTATGCCCCATGATTTGTAAAAACTAAGTAGAATAAATGGAATGTTATATCAAGTGAAATGTCCGTCAGAAAATCCTTAACTGTACAGACCTTTCAACATGCATTAAGAATAATTGCTAATACCCGGATAAAGTTGAACACCGGTACACATTGGATACCTAGGCACGACTAGTTTGTTTAAGAAGAATTAAGTTAAAAATTCGGATTAGATAAAAGGACATACAGAATATTAGAATGAGATGTTTAGATCTTAAGATATTAAGTATCTAAACAACAAATCTGATAGCATATGATAAATTTGAGGACCAACACAAAAAAAAGTAGACCATGGTAGAAATATAACAATAGTATTAAATGAGAATATTCCTTCCTTATCCTTTTGGCTCAATAAAGTGACTACTTTGAGAATTCATATCACACATATACAATTTGAAAAGCAATTAAATGAATTTTAAGGCTGACATTATGTTTTTAAGAATATTTTTTGCATATTTTATAACATAACATTTTACGCATACGATGGAATCCTCTAGCTCAAGGAGAAAGAAGGAATTGCAAAAGTTAAACCATTCTATATATACTGACAAAATGGTTGGCATATGAGTACAATCATAAAATAAGAGCATATAAATACAGGTGTTCATGTACGATAGGTTATATTGATTGATTGTTTGTATATTGTTTATCGTACCTCTCAAGAATTTTCATTTATATGGAGACATCATCACTAACCGGTGGAGATCTATACATTTTGTCCTATACCCGAGACTCAGGACCATTGGGCAGTGAGGAGTATTTTTTGTGCCAACACCTACTGCGACACGGGACCTCTCAGATGACAGAGCTATTTAGAGGTCTATTTAATAAAAACATTTTATGTTTATTGAAATTGCCGATTGTATTGAAAGTATAAAAGTAACATTTACTTTGAAAGGAAAGACATGATTTCTTAAATAATTGTAGAAATAGTACAGTGAACCAAATTTAAATAGCTCGAAGTCAGTGTTTGTCATCTCCCTCGGGAGATGACACATTAAGATTGTATGCCGGAAGTGAAGTCCTAGTGTAAGCCTCCATTAATTCTTCGGGAATCCTCGATGTTTTACAATATCTCAAGTGAGAATCTACACAAGGAGTTCCAAGTAGCCTGTAAACTGGTTTTCTTTTAGAAGAACTAGCTTAGAAGTGTGATATCTACTTTCGGTTTAGGCCTATTTGAAAGCCAAGGAAAATTTAGAAAAGCAGTACGATGCTTATTGTCATCTCTCACGAGAGATGACACATTAAGTTTGATTTCCTGATGTGAAGTCCCAGTGTAAGCAGCTATTTTTCAGTCTGCAATCCTCGGCTGACTCCACTACGCTACATTCCAAAAGTTCGAGGCTACCCGAAAATCACCGACTGCTCAGTTTGACGCGATGATGCGATTTTCTAAATATAGAGACGTAAACAACGAGCGATCTGCCTTATTATTGATAAAGAAAACAAGCTGCAAAGAAATCATACAGAGACCAACACACACAATCGCCTGAATAATGGGGTTTTTCAAAATATACACTGTATGTTCTTATATGTAAAATCTTCTTGGCTATTACCTAAATGATGACCAGAACTCGATAGAATCTTCTAACTAGGTCAGCGCGTGTGTAAAGATCCTCTGCAGCCGAGGCGTGGATCCAAGAATTCACAGAAAAAAACATTCACATAAGTAATCGCATTACTGACTAATAGGAATTGATGGTGAAAACTTCACTATTTTGGTACATTAGTCATTATATAACGCGGCACCGTCATTTTTTTAAAAAAAGGTAATACAAGTCTGATTATAGAATCAAATGCATTGAGAAATTAAAAGCACAACTTATACATGTTATAAGCGGATACATTAATGTCTATAAAAAAAACTACAGACATTGAATGAAAGATCACAAAGAATTATTATGAGTATTTTCTTGCATGTATTATCTATTCTTTTTAAGGATTTATCATGATTAAAGAACTTGCAATCATTTTCTTTGTGCAGTTTTAATTGCATAAATGTCAAAAACATCTTTAATTCACTCCTCCAATATTATTGAAATGAAGACCAAATTATAATACACAATAGGTTATATGTTTAGTATGCAGATAAAGTTTACTAAAACACAAAAAAATATACGCACTGCACGGCCACTAATGGCACAATACTGTATATTCCGAAGACAGCCGTAAGTTCAGGGTTGGCAAATGAGAACTTTTCTCTGATAATTTGTAAATGCTTGATTTTAGCTGATAGCATTTAAATGTTATTACTTACTTATGCTTAAAAGCATGTGAACGTTGGGTAGGGGCCCAAAG